TTCAAGGTTACATACCAGAGTGTCGTTCCAACACAAAAGCGTAAGTCTTTCAACTTACAATTTGTTTGGTCGTTAATCTGGTCATTGCTAGTGGATATGTGCAGGGAGGTTCGGATGGTATGCCTATATTGGGCGACTTCGCAGTAAAATATGGCAGCCATGCGGAGGCACTTGGGGTTCCAATCGCGGATTTGTACAGTGCATTGGTAGACACATCTGAGAACACGGTGCGTGTCCTCAACACCCTGTTGTCCATTGTCTACAATCTGACTTTTGGCAGCCTCCTGATTGGTATCGAGGTGATCGATCAATTAGTTGTTTTATGGACGTCTGCTAACGGGGTCACCATATTCTCAGTGGGTCGACAAAACACAGCATGGAAGACGTTCGGATATATCCCTACAAACTGGGCCGACCCCTCCGGATCGACGGGGCTCCCAACGCGGGAAGCATCCCGGGCATTTGAGGTCATCTTGCCTAGTTTCAAACCTTGAAATCGAGAGGCTAACAACTCCCCTTACACAACAGTACGCCCTGGGTGATTTCGCAGTCAGTCAAGCTGCTTCGGCCTTGAACAAGTCGCAGGAAGACGTCACCAAGTATGCAAACCGGTCAATGAACTTTGTCAATATGTGGGATGCGACGGTGTCTAGTGATGGGTTTACAGGGTTTGCGCAGAGACGATATCCTGTTAGTCATTCCTCATCATGACTTAATGGTGCCGGCTGGTTGCTTATATTGACCCTAGAATGGAACCTTTGCGTTCAGCCCCCCAGACGCTTGTTCGCCCATTGATCCCACCCCTCATTCTTGCGCCAGGGGCACAGACAACAATGTTGGCTTCTATGAATGTAGGCATCATTTCAAACTTGGTATCTTTCATCTCAACACATCAAATTTAATAGCTTCGTCTTGGGAGATGAGCTTCTTTGCGCCGCATTCCATGTCAACCATCATCCGGCTCATGGGGGGCGATGCAACATTCATAAATCGCGTGTAAGGCTAACTGTATCTCGTTATCAATATTCTTTATATCTTAAGTTTTGTTTTTCCAGGGACCATTATTTCTCAAAAGGATATTTCCAAGCTGGAAATGAACCTTCCTTCCAAATTCCTTGGGCATACCACTACGCAAATCGGCCCGACCTGACGGCTCTTCGCGTGCGCAATATCGTCTACAAAAATTTCAATACGGGAATTGGCGGGTAAATTCTATCGCCACATTTCATCGAAGTCATAACGGGTCCACTTACACTTTACCCCCATTGTAGTATTCCAGGCAACGATGACTCAGGTGCCATGGCCGCACTTCTTTCGTTCCACCTCCTCGGTCTGTATCCTGTACCTTCCTCCAACCAGGTTCTCCTCGGAAGCCCCTTCCTTTCCTCGTATACTATCCACAACCAGCTCTTCAACACCAACACAAAGATCACAGTGAGCAATTTTGATACGACCACGCTTACCGGGACGCCCCCTACAGGCAGTCGTTTATTCGTCCAAAGTGTTAGTGTCAATGGGGTGGCCCAAAAGAGTATTTGCTGGATTGACTGGAACGATCTTGTGGGTGGCGGTGCGATCATTATTGAGGTTGGTGCTATCCAAGCAGCTACTGGCTGTGGCACCGATCCGGCGGCACGTCCTGCATCTTTGGAAACTGGTGGGTTCGCCGGACTTGGTAATCCGTTCCTCTAAGCCAAAGAGTCTAATTCCCAATTTGAAACAACACTGAATGAATTTGGTCCAATCGTTTTGCAAAAATCCATATGTTTATTACAAAGACATAGATGGTATACATGTATGAAAGGTGACTCAGTTCAGTCATTCATAATAATTGCCAGGACGTCATTGACACGGTCAATCTCAACGTTCCCCCAACGAAGGTCGACTGCAATTCCAAGTACGAATTATGACACTTTCACCGAAAAGCCCAACGGTACATGTAATGTTACGAACAATCAAGCCCGCACCATCTTCCTGACCGGCGGTTATCGCAATTTCGATGTCTATAAAATGCGCCACACACCGCGATTTACATAATCCACGCGACAGCCAAGATAAGCCCAAACAACACGGCTTTTCCCCACTTGACCCGCACGTCGCCCCAACGTCGCCAACTATTGATGGGCCTCTCGGCTTGTGCAACATGAAGGAAAGGATGCCACTCAATATGCATCTATCCTACTAAAAAAAACGGTAATGTTTGCGGAGAACAATGCAATTTGTTGTTGACTTGTTGATGAGTATGGTGGCATGTGCATGTGGGTATTTGAACTGGACCCACCATCTTCTATAACCAGTCTATAACATAGCTCTACGATGTAAGTCTCTTAAATATACTCGAATTTTTGTTTTCATAATTGAACCTTAACAGTGATAACGCGATGGACGACACAAAGAACGCCAACGCTCTCGAAGAGGAACCGAAAGCACCGAAGCAACCATGGCCACCTCTGACACTAGGGGACATGGGTGAAGCGCTGCCTCTAATGAACACTGTTGACCCTCAATCTGGGGAACATGTGCGCCTAACAGTTCTCGCCTTCGCTTTTCCTCCAGAGAGGCAAGATGATTGGGCCCTTTGAGGAAGTCTTTCTCCCACTACCCAGGACGTGTCGGTATGGCCTCGTGCCTACAATGGCAAACGCAATGTCGGATGCACCGCTATCCATTTCACGTCGAACGCAACACCGGTGGAGTTGGATCGGGGCGCAGATCTGGAGCTTATACGGGCAGGTTTTGGGAACAAGGAAGCTCCCGTACTGGGTTAGGCCGGTGCCTCTATGGTGCGTCGTCTGGCAATGTCGCGAGAATTCCATTGAATCTCTGACATTGTAGAGCCACCGCCCCCTTCCTCATCCCTTCACTTTAACCGCCTCATGTCGTAAAACTCTATGCTAATCCCTCCGCTTTTGGATCCGTCAAAGAGTCCCTTACTGTGTGGCCCCTCATGTTTGCGCGCAAATAGGAACCTGACAATTATCCTTTACATTTTGTGATACGTATGATATATCTCTAACCCGTTGTACACTTTGTGTGACTTCATGTACGAGGTTGAGATTAGTTGGGAGATAAAGGCAGCGTTGGATAGAACTTGAAATGACGCTGCGCGCTTCTGGCCTGAGAGAGAAACCGTCCCGCAGAACACTGAAGTTGAGTACGCGACCAATCTAAATATAGGCTGACATGCCAGTGTCCCATTTGTCGATGAAACATACAATTGGCTTCTATTGGAGAAATTATGTCCCACACGACATTGTCGAGCTCCAAGAGTCAAGATTAGATAGCCGATTTTCGCTTTTATATTCCACCGGATTTTGAGGTTAGTGATCATTGAAGGAGGCCTTGTACATTGTGAAATGATCATTATAATTCCGATGAAGGTTTGGGAGAGCGTATTGCTGCGTGCTCGGCGATCGCCGAGATGCCGTTAAGATACCCTCTGACCTGATGGCCCAGCATTGGATAGCATACAAAGTCTCCATCGCAAGCACGATATCCGACGACCCCCATCTTGTTCACCTCCACATCCCGCGTTATTACACCCTCCAGTAATGGCCGATCAACTAGTGAGTAGCTATACCGTATCTATAGTGTTCGGCTGGGCGATTAACCCCAATCTTGTCCTCAGTCTGAAGGTAACGCATCCCTGTTGCGCATCGTGCACCCAGGGTCCAACGCTAATCAACACTATCCTGCACGTTAATCTCACACGCGCGCTTAGAGCAAATCTCTGGTATGTGACGTACATCGGCCGCGATCTGGCGGTCATGGCCCGAGGAGCGTATGCATCAGCTCACGAGTCTCTCAATCAGAATTCAAGGAGGCCTTCTCACTTTTCGACAAAGGTTTGCGACAATACACTCCAGTCATACCACCAATTCACCCATTCTTTTCTTTAGACGGCGATGGCACAATCACCACCAAGGAGCTTGGCACCGTCATGCGATCGCTCGGGCAAAACCCTACAGAAGCAGAATTGCAGGACATGATCAATGAAGTTGACGCCGATGGGAATGGAACCATTGACTTCCCCGAATTCCTCACAATGATGGCGCGTAAAATGCGCGACACGGACAGCGAGGAGGAAATCAAGGAAGCTTTCAAAGTCTTTGACAAGGACGGCAACGGCTACATCAGTGCTGCGGAGCTAAGACACGTCATGACCAACCTTGGTGAGTACAATTATGATCTTTGCTGTTGGGGCCCACTCAATCTCATTGTGACTGGGTTGCACAGGCGAGAAACTGTCAGACACAGAGGTAGATGAGATGATCCGTGAAGCAGACGTTGATGGTGATGGCCAGATCAACTACGAAGGTAAGTAATCGCAAATATCTGCTGAAAAATCTGAACTTCAACTTTACGTTTTCTTTCCCAGAATTTGTGAAGGTGAATAAGGTTTCCGAAGTCTTCAGTCTCTTACTCAAATTTGCATCTTCCCCAGATGATGTTGTCAAAGTAATCTCGATTTTTTGTTGAATAGCGCAGTGTACTCTTATTCAAAAACCTTTTCAAACCTTGCTTGGATTCTTATAAGTGCAGTTGTATAGTTGTCTGGCGATGGACGGTACGGTAATTCTTCTGTACGAGTGCAGGCCTTTATCCTCATCTCTCGAATACCACCTACTCAATCACGACCTTGAAATCTTTTCCGCCGTTCGGTGAAACTCCAAAATAGCATACAAGATAGCGGTCAGAACACTCAGGGTAATTAGAGTGGTGAATTCTGGGGAGTTGCACGGTTCTGGGGCTGCTTCTATTTTGCTTGTCTCCCGCTCAATCTATGCGTAAAAAGTGCATGCTGGTGTCATGAAAGTTATTATGGAAATGAGCTTATCGGTATGACGAACTACTTGAATGGAATATGGTCGCGTACACATTGTAGCTGTCCCGCGCGTCGACTTGGTGGTCCCCGCCGTGTCGGTTGAATTTTAGAAATCTGGTACATAACATAAACCTTATTAAAAAGATTATGTCCAAAGGACACAATGACAAAAAGATGCCCGCTGGCTGGTTTGAACAACCGACCTCACCATGTATGGATCCCATCACTTCATACGAGTGGCGCGCTCTACCACTGAGCTAAGCGGGCGATGTGTGTTAGTCAAAGTGGAGCAATAATACGCCTTCCAGTGTGATTCCCATTTCGTGGGTATCATGTTGGCAACAGTCAATTGCAAACATCATTTCGGCTTGACTTGCTACTGGACTTCGACCTTGATCCAGCTATTGTTAATAAACCTGCAACAAGACACTGCATATCGAACTCCGGACCATGTGCATTGAATGCCACCCGAGTTGCTATTAGCCACCAATGAATCTTGGCCTCGTCTCTGCAACGTCTGCGTGCGTCACATTGGCCAGGGCGATTTCTAGAGACGACTTCTTATGCTAACATATATCCTTCTACTTAGCTCGTAGAACGGAGAACGAACGAACACACCACGAACCCCTGCACCTTATCGCGATTACCGCTTCAGCCGGGACGCCCGTCTACTTCACTTGGATTGTATTTTTAGATGATCTCCCACGTCGCGGGGTTGGACAGAACAAATGCAGTCATTCCTGCCCGTGTCGTTGCTGGGCTCATAACCTTCAACGCTCTACTCGAAACTGTGTTCGACTTGCCGAAAAAAATTTCGATGGTACTTGAATAGGCCACCTTGGTGCTCCCACCTAAGTGGGCAAGCAGTTTGTTCGCGTGCTGCAACCCGTCGTTTGACACTCGACTCGCAGCCAAGGTCTCCTTTGCTACGCTCCGCATGAGAGACAATCGATTCTGTCCATCGACCCTTGGGTGCCTCGCCGACGTATGACGCCCGTTCGGATTTTTATATACCTCTTAATGATACTACGACTCTACCACATTGAGCGTACCCTGATTACGCATTACCTACCACTAATATTATCCGCATTCGCTTGTATAGATAACGAAGGGCCTATTGCCCAGAAGCCTGCTCTTGTAGCCAAGGGTGATTACTTGTTCTGATCCACGGCTTGACATGGCCGAATCGTAGCAGATTTGATTCTGAGCGTCATTGTCCTTTCGCAATTAGTAGTTCTATATCTCGACACCCAATTGGAATTAAAGGTGTTACGTAGTCTGGGATTAGTCTCCGGCTAGCTTTCTCCATGCTACCATGGTGTGTGTGAATTGTGAGCGCACTTCAGTACTCCCTCGGGATATTGAAAAATGCCCTGGTGATCATGAACTCAAAACCTTTGGCTCTTGTGCAGGAGCCAGATATTATTTTGATCAAACCTTACATCTAAAGACCTGTTTCAATGCTATATCCATCGTCACAATATTTCTTTGCATACGGAATATCCTTGGCCACCTTCCGTTCGTTACAAGAGCTGCCGATTCGAAACTTGGAATAGAGCAGCCACCAGGGTGTTGGTTTCATGAATTAGGGTCCCTTTTGCGCATGGGAGGAATTCGTCCAGTAGCACCTCGCCAATTTGATGCATAAACACCACAGCTAGGTCATATTGTTGGCTCATAACGTTGTCTGAGAAACGAAACAGTCGATGTAAATGCTGGGCGATTATGACTTAGATCGTGCCTAGTAGGGCGGAGGATACTAGTCATCGTTGACATTGGACACTGTACATGGCCCTGCTGAAACCATGATCATTCAATGCTATTTCTAATCAACGATTTGTTTAAATACTCTTCGACACTGGATCAGTCTCGAATCTCCCTAGTTGCTGAACTTACTAGAGATCCCATACAATATTTTTCGATTGAGAGGATCGACCTCCGAGGTTCCATTCTTGTTCCATTCAATGATAACCATGTGTTAGCGGGTATGACCTTTGTCCAGGCCAGCGGCGATCCAACGGCGCTAACTAACGGTACAACCCTGGACTGATGGAATGAAGGGACGTGAGAAGGGAGCCTTCAGCCGCCGAGCAGTGGGTTTTCTATATATATTCATGTGGTTCGGTAACCGTTGTCGCAACTCATCTCTTTTCTTCCATCAGGTAGCAATGTTGCTAACGGACGCACGGAGTTTTTAAGCGCAAGTGCCTGGCGGATAAGCTAATAGTGGGTGTGTATGTCAAGACAGTTCGGCCTGTTTAATGTTTGCAACAAGGGTCTCGCAATTCATAAACCTCGAGGAAGACGGCTTTCGTTAAAGCACATATCCTGAGATGATACTAGTTCACTACCGAAGATTCGCTAACCCTTGGTCGCAGAGTATACCACTCACAGATGCGTTTCTTCCTTCAATCCTGTTGGCGCTGCTTGTAAGTCATATGGTCATTAGCGCTGTTGTCGACCTTACTGAGCATGAACAGGTTGAATCGCTCCTCTATGGCAAGTTTCCCCTGATAAAATAAAGTCTTTCGAACGCTTGATGCAGAACAGGAATGCATGTTATACTTTTCGTGATATGCGTCCGCATCCTGATGCGGCGGCGGCGAAAGTTGCAGATGGCCATGTTGGCGGCAGTCATTGTCATGTTTATCTTGACAACGACAGACGTTGGGGTCTCTTGGAGACTAGCACTTGATAGAACCACAATTCTTTACAAAGGCAACAGCGATGCTTTTGTCAAGGCACTATATCCGAAGTTTCTCTTTCATTTGGTTAACAAGTCAGTATTTGATTAGCATTCGGGCGAATGGAAGACTGACTGGGTGATAGCTTCACCGCGGATGTTCTTCTTGTTGGTGTCTTGATTCCCTGCACGGAGAACGCTAACCTAATTTGAGATTATTTGGTGTCAGGTAATCCGGTGCTATGTCGTTTGGGGCCGCAAAAAGATCGTCCTTGTCTTTGCGAGCTTGATACTCATCATCGGAACCGGTAAGCCTTCTTCCTCCCAACCCGTATTATGGGGATCATGACGCTCTGTGTTTCTAGTATTTGGCATCATAAGTGAGGGCACAACATCAGTGGAATTGAAAAAGTTCATAGGAGTCTACATCGGCATCATCCTCATTCTGAACATTATCCTCACAATTCTAACAGGTTTGTCGTTTTCTTGATCTGGAGCTGAGGTTGTGAATCTGACTACTATGTGGAGCGGGAAGGATTTGGTGGATCGCAAGAGAAGTCAAACAGATAATGGGCCACGAGATGGCTTCTCAATATCACTATTCTATCGCTATCCTGTGGGTTCAGCCAAAAGATAGAATGACTACAACTGAATCGACTTAGCATAGAATCTGGATTAATTTATACAGCTGCTAACATCTTGGTCGTAATTTTGGCGCCAACTAGATTCGTGGTACGTAATTTTGTGATTTGCGAATAGTTGTGGCATGTTGACGGATACTTCGAAGTTGATGGCAGCAGCCATCGCAATTCGCGTCGTCGTTCGTCACCTATATATCTCTCGAATGCAAAATACTGACACGAACAACGGTCAGTGCATCATGCCGATCCTCATCATAGTACAGATTGCTCTTGGACAAGCAACGAAGGATATTCCAACAGCTGTTAGCAGGTACCAAGCCGAAACGCAACAAATTGTGGTGCTGGACACAATCATCAGCGGTGGCCGGTATGAATCAGAAACAGAGTATAATACGCACCAACGAGCCCCATCCGACATTGAAAACCCTTGTAGTGAAGGTCATGTTGTCGGAGGGTCATCACAAAATGAAACAGACACAGACGCTGTCGACAGTAGGGAATAGAGAAAGTGACTCTTATACGTCATTGCAAATCACTTTTAGAATAGCTTACCCTAACCTGGGGGAAACAGACAGTACAACTTCACTCAGCGATTCGTGAACGAGGCGTTCATATGTGACATGAAAGGGAGGGTGGGACTGCCTTAATCTCATTCCACCCCTTGGGTCGCTTAATAGAGCGAGTCACAATCTTGTGCGCTGGTAAATGAGGACAGGTGTTCATAAGCAGAGTAGAGTGGTTGTTTCATTGTTTATGAATTCAATAATTGTCCAACTTTTGTCTCCACTTCCGTCGCCGAGAGGTTGTCAAGCTCAACGTGCTTCTCGACGCCGCGTTCTGATTACATCTCCAAATTTAACATGGCTTGCAAGCACAGGAAAAGCAACACACACCGAATCTAGCGAAAACCCTTGCAGGTGTCCCGGTTGCTTCCCTTATCATAACAGGTAAATCTGGATTGTGTTTCTTAATCACCGGGTATTTCGAGATGATGAACTCTCTGTTTGAGGTTGGAAAGTGGTGGAACATAATTATAATTGACGCCGAATACAGAAAGCAAGTGCCGATTCTCACCTTGTGCCAGAGGAAGCTGCCCCAGTCTGCGAACACAATATACGAATCTCCCTCAAAGCAGGTGATAGAGCCTTTGAAAATAACATAGTGGAGGTAAGTGAAGGGAAAGTCCTCCGAGGTGAGCCTTCGACCTGCCAGAAATGTGATTATGTAAGCAGTTACCACCCAGTTTCGTGTCAACAACCCCCATCGCGTTTTAACCCACGCCCTTGTTCACCATCGACAACGACGTCCGAGCCTGCCTTTCGGCGACCACAACGACGAGCAGCTAGGAAAACGCCTCAAGATGGACGACGAAAACGAAAAGCGACAACTTGATGACTGGGCGAATAGCCGCAAGAACAGGCTGCCTTCGTTTACCGAGGTACTCTCAAGGAGGACAAGGCCTCCAGTTGATCTCTTCATGTTTTAGTGCGTGCATCCGCGATGAAAACACATGTTATCACTGACACTCTGTGTAGCCTTTTCTTACAACGGGAGGGAGCGGAGGATATCCTTGATTTCTGGTTGGACGTTCAACAACACGAGAACCTATGTCGAGCGTACTTCAAAGACGTTCGGAAGTCTGGCCGAACCATCAAGGAGGATTGGCCGCACTATTGGGACTACGCCCGAAGACGCGGGTCTATCTACGGTACTGTGGTAGGCCTCGGTGCTGAAGGAGGAGGTACGAAAAGAAGCACAGCGAGCACGGGCGAACTCTTGACCGAGGCGGACAAACGGAATCTTGCCGCAGCTGGAGAAGAGAAAGGAGGTCGTTCAACAAGTCCCTATCGACCGGCGACAGGGGGTGGCATGTCGGAGCACACTCGCGTTGCCTCTGCATCACCAAATGATGCGTACGACAACCCTCCGCGTTCATCGACACC